TGTAGGTCAGCTCATTCCCAAATTTGAATTCAAAGGTGTCTTTGTCCATGACTTCCATCACCTCCAAGAGCTTCACCTGCCCAGGCCCCAGATGAATGCTTGTTAGAGAGATACCCAGGGGGCAGTGGTGTGCCCGAGCCCCCATCTCCTCCCGTCCCAGACAAGGGCTGGAGTGACTGCGACAGCAGCACAGCATAGGATATGCTGCGCTAGACCTGTTTAGCAGACCCTGGGGCATTGCATGCTTGAAGCTACAGTCAGCATGGCTACATCTCTGTATTAGCTATAGGATGCATTAAATGCATGTTTCTTTGACACACCACAGGAGGAAGCAAGTACAAAAGGAGGACAGGGACACAAATCACCACCTTGCTGAGTGCCACAAGGAATAGGATAGGCACAGCCTCCCAGTCCCTCTCACCAGCACGGAGTCCACAGCAGGGAAGTCTTTGCTCCAGCTGACCTCCTCCCCTGTTAATTGTTTCCATACGAAGCCAGGAAGAGCTAGGACCTGAAGGAGAACAGGGATTTTGCTGAGTCTGTGTGAAAGGAAACATCCCCAAAGATAGAGATAGGGCTCAACAGTGCAGACACAAAGGAGCTTCCCTGCTCCCCCTGTCCACATGCAGAGCTCATCATAGCCGAGCAGAGACCAGACACCCTCTCCCAAGCTTCCAACAGCATCTCCCAAAACTCAGGCTGTGAGTTCTCCTAACCCCTCAGCCCCAAATCCTGCCAAACACCTTTTGTCCCAGTATGTGATCACAGAGCCCTCCCATGCTCCTGTTGGACAGGCTGCAGAAGGGAGCTGACGACTCCACACAGGGACGAGGTTGAAAGCTTACCAGAAACTCCTTGCCCCTCAGAGCCGCTCCCATGATCTGCCCGATCCACTCATACTTGGGGAAGTCTTTGCAGGAGGGGTTGGGGACATACATGTCCCTGGCTTCTCCAGTGCCATTACCCTACAGAGTGAGAGGCAAAACTCCAAGTCATGATCTCAGCGCAACGTGAAGCGCCACAAACTCAGTTCCTGCAGTGCCTCTGGGCACTTCTCACAACAGAAGTGGGCTAAACCCGCCACCCTCCTTAGCAATATTTCTAGTGAGAAACAAGTATCCAGGCACTTGTCAGCATATCCTGAAACAAGATGCCACAAAGCAATCTACCCAACCCTTCATGAGGAAAAGCTTTGGACCAGCAAAAGTAGGTATATCCCTGGCGCGCAGGGGGAGAGGGACAGCACTGCATTGCCAGGCACAGAAAGATCTGCCTCAAATACCCCGACCCGCAGCACCTGGTTGGACGTGCGCACAAAGAAGGGCAGAGGCACAGGGGTGTCTGCTGAGCTGGGACACAGCTCTTCTGACATGTCCGCCAGGCTGTCCCGAAAACCGCCACCTGCAACCCCAAAAGAAGGGCATTTTTAGTGATGTGAACTCCCCATGTGCTGACCCTCAGAGTTATGGAGCAAAGATAAGGAATTCTGGTCCAACCTGGCCCAGAGCTGAGCAGAAGGCTCCCGTCAGAGCCTTATGGCACCAGAGGAAATAAGACAGGAGAAATAACATCTCTGCCTGGCCTGTGAAGGACAGCCAGAGGGAGCATTGGCACTGCAAAAGCTGCTGTTAGTGACTAATGGAGGTCTGGCCCCCATCCCAGCAAGCAGCACTCCTTATCCAGGACATGGCTGGGGGTGGCAGGACAAGGCAACCTGCCTTCCTTCTCTCCTCCATGGGTAGTAATGCTGGGAGCAAATGAGAGCCCCTACAGCAACAGAGTCACCCCATCAACCCCCGACTGCTCCAGAGGAGCCCTTGCCTCGCACAGCCCCTACCTTGGTCAATGATGCCCTCTGCGATGAATTTGCACTCCCACCACTGGTCATAACGCAATGGCCATCTGCAGAGAACCAGATATCACCTGAGGTGCTGCTCAAAGCCAAGGAGATGCTGGGGAGGCAACAGGCACAGCAGGGACACCAGGGGACGAGGGTGTACCAGCCTGGGCTTAGGACAGGACACGATCTCAATCTCCAGAGTCGGCTGCATCCTCAGTAGGAAGGTGACACCTTGGGGAACAGGCCCTGATCCCATGGCTGAGCTGGCTCCTGCCCTAGCAAACCCTCTCCAGAGGACAGGACGCACACAGGCTTCCCAAACACCCTGCTGTGACAGAGGACATAGCTCCCGGCACTGCATGGTCCCCTCCTTCCCCCAGACACCACTTACCTATAATCTAGAGGCTTTTCAAACTTGTCCGAGGGTTTCAGGCCTTCATACACCTGCAATGAGCAGAGAAGACCAAATCTGGTATCCCCTCTCCAGGGGAACCGGTGCCAGGTGAAAGCAGGAAATTGGAAGAAATCTGGTTTGCCCCAAACCTTTAAATACTGACTGAAGCTGATCTCTAAATGGTGTAGGAACCCTTCATTTTTGGAAAGGGAACATAAATTGCAGTGCTAACCACTGTATGGAGCTTTCTGGCCTCAGAGTTACATTGAACACACATTAAACCTCACAGCAGTCTGGGCCGTTTGTGCACAAATACAGCAAAATAGATCTTTTGGAGGCAGGGGGGAAATGACAATAGGAAGATCAGCATTGCTGTAAAACCACGATACAGGACTGTATCTGGCTGCATTATTGTTGTCACACAAGAATTCTTTGCTGCCCTTTTAGTGTAATGAGATTGCTATGCTCTGCATGCCACAGAGAGCATCCAGGATAGAGACTTCAACTC